CACCTTTTCTACCCATATTTGAATTTACCTTCAGCGATAAAGTCATCAAACTTACGAGGAAAAACAGAAACTCCAATGGATCTTCTAGCTTGAGAACTAGAAGATGGTAAAATAGAGCTACCCTCAGACCTGAGACCATGGTTATAATCATGAGAACGGATACCGGCAGCCTTATCAGAGCTACTCATGAGATGCCATCTTGTAGCTCTTTCTGTATTATAATTATTTTGGTCTAAAGAGTCTAAATTTAAGGACTCAGTTGAGCTGCCTAGAGGTTCCTCAATGGAAGCTTTAGTTGGGCTACCAGGTATATTTTGAAAATTAGGCTCAGTAGAACTATCTCGAGGCTCATCATTGGGTATAGAATCCACATATTCATTAGATGAACTATAATGGAAAAAAATTAATCTGGTAATATCATCATGATTGGGAACATCAACTCTATTCATCCTCATCTTAAATGGGAATATGTTCTCATAGAACTTAACGTCACGAGAAACAATAATTTTCTTTGACTCCAAACTAAACAGTTTATAACCTTTTTAGGAGCTAGCATATCCTAAAAGAATACACTTTTCAGACTTTGGAACAAATTTATCAGACACATTTGGGATGACAGAAAAACATAAACACCCAAAATTTTTAAGATGAGAAAGGACAAGTTGAAACCCATAGACAAGATCATAGGGGCACTTACCGTTAAGCACAGAGGAGGGAGTTCTATTAATTAAGTAAGTGGCAGTGAGAATACATTCACTCCACATGTTAAGAGGAACTCCTCCCTGAAACAAGAGAGCCCTAGAAACATTAAGAAGATGGCGATGTGTGAAGTCCAAGATTCATACAAAAATGATAAAATCTTCAAGAACAAGATGAATGTAATAGTAGAAAGAATAGATCACCAAATGTAATTGATTTGATTGAGAGAGAGAATTACAGCTCTAATCTGATTACAATCTGCTAATTACTTGATAATGACAATTACAAGAAAAATACTATTTATACTAAGGAAATAATAAAGCTACACTATTACAAAGAAAGTAAACTAAGGAGAAACTTGAATACAACAATAAAGCTCTTACTCAAACCCAACATTCTCCCCCTTTGGATTCAAGTTTGGACCCTTGTAAATTTTGTCTTTCAAAGTCCAAGAATTTTCTCTAATCTCCTTAAAGCGTTCCTGTATTGAATCTTCACCTCGAGCAGATTTATAGCATTAATCAACAGATATCTTTCTTTGGAACTTATCCTCTCTGATTCTGCAGTTTGTCATTGTTTACCCTTTTCAAGTCAAACGCCCTTCTCACCAACCTTATCGTACCATCTGAATATTTGTTCAACTCACTGAATCTCATGAATTTCTTCACTTGAAGTTGAGCAAAATATATGACCCCAAATTCTGGCTTTTCAAGAATCATGTAGACAGGATAAGCATCAATATCTTCTAGGTCTTGATTTGGTCTTTTCAGATTGATGATCATTTGATTGTCTTCAAGACCCATTAGAATATCTATGACCATAGCCAGCTTCACATGACATCTCATAAATCTCTTAATAGCATCAAGAGCAATCAGTTCTCCCTCCTTCCTGTTTGTCATGTTTCTGATTTCAAAGTACATATACTCTAGATCTTCCAAATATAAGCTTGAAAAATCAGCTTCACTGAATCTCCAAATCTGATCATCCTGTCTAGTCACAATAAACACAGGATACCAGATTCTCAGAAGCTTTTGAGCA